TGCACTAGGAAGATGTTTGATTACATTAAATGTTTTATTTTTAGGGTGCAAGAAGGTTGAAGCTTCGGAATATACCTGAATGTTCCTCAATGTCTGGTGGACATGCAATAGAATACCTTGCTTCCAGTGGCAACCCACGTGCCTATGAATTTCCAACACCAATGGGAAAGTACAGAGACTGTTCCTTCAGCTTTTCAGGACTCAAGCACTCCTTAGTAAAAGTTATATCAAAACTAGAAGAAGAATATGGTAAGAAAGTGTTATGTTGTGTAATCACTAATTGCTAAGACTTTTTCAATAGAGTAATTATAAATATTGTATGCAGGATTTTGTTATCACTTTTATACAACCAAAAAATTGATGCAAATGATATGCATTGCATTATATGTAGTTAGCTGCAAGGATAAATAGGCCATGTCTTTTGAATATCCACAACACCTAAACAAGGATTGGAATAGCAAATATTTGGTTAGGTATCCCATGCTTTTCTAGTAAATCTGTCTATAAAGTTAGATAATAACAGCATACATACTTTGGCCAGAACTTGGCCAAACATACATCCGGGTTCTGGACCCGATGAACAACATCCTTTGGCAGTTTAGATTATGCAGATTTTACATTATCATTTCTGTGGGGAGCCCCTACGGCTCCCTGGAGCTTATCGGGCTAATGTATGTTATATTAGACCGGGACATTAGCTAAGGAGTTCAGACCTACCAGGGACCAGCGCCAGAACCTGGCCCCTTCAGAGAGGTTTCAGGGAACAATGGCCCTGGAAAACCCCTTTGGGGTTGGGGTTTTCCTTATCTGCCATCGACCGGGGTTAGGCACCCAGAAAGGTAGGCATAACAAAACAAACCCCACATGGTAAAAAACTAAAACAAAAAACCGAACAGAGAGGTAGAAACTCCCTACAATCACAAGGAAACAAGCAAACATCACACTTTACTGCCGCGCCGATCGTCCGCGCAGCCCTCCCCGCCCCGAGAGGGGGAGGGGAGAGCCCCGGACGCCAAGCTTCAGTTCAGAAGCTAAGCTTCAACCAATGCAAAAAAAATGCCGAACGGTGGGAGGGAGGGTTGCCAGGGAGCCTCCGGGGCTCGCCCAGAAAATGGCGTTTCATTACATTCAACGCTGGTTTTCTGTAGGGAGCCCCTACGGCTCCCTGGAGCTTCATACCCGATGACTGTGATTTAGCTTTTCTTTCCTCACCTTAGTTTAAGGTTTCCCAATTGGCTTATGATGTTTTTCTTTGGCAGTTTAATTGTTGGCTCTTGCGTCTGGAAGGCAAGAGCCAACAATTAAAGTTGAGCAGCCTTAGGCTCTTTTCAGAAGGCTAGGGTTTTGTTCTTTTGACCCCTGTTAGGTGGTTTGTTCATTTGCTACTGTCACTTCTTCTGGGAAAGAATGAGTTGGTAGGCTTGCAGAGGGGGGTCCTTTGGTGACTGATGCTTCGTTGATTTGGCCCCCAACCAAATCAACGAAGCATCAGTCATCCCATATCGGCTCTTGGTCACTACCTGTGTGTTGTTGGTTCTGTCTCAGTGGATGCCTTTTTGGTTGATCCCATGTCCTTTGTTCCTCTTTGAGGGCTTGCATTTATCTTTGTCATCATGTTTAGCCAGCTTGTGGTCTACCCTTAGGCCCATGATGTTCGTAAATATGCTGCTTTGGCTGCTGGCTTCTCTAATGTCTTGAGCTTATATTCGGGCTCTAAGGGTTTTGGTGTTCTAACAGGGTGCTTGTGGCTCAGTATTTGGTTAATGTTGCTGGGTCCAGACAGTTGTGTGTAATTTTGGGCAGTGTTGCCTGGCCTACTTTCTTTTCTTCAACCCCCTAAGTTCCTGCCACTCTGTGCTTTCCTGCTAAGTCCCTTTCTTGTTCTCTGTGATTAGTTAGCTTCAATGAGTCACAAGGGGCTCCCTCCAGGAATCTAGCAGTGAATGAAATGAAATGCCAATTTCTGGAGGAGTCCCAGTGGCTCCCTGCAACCCTCCTGCCCTCCAAGTTCATTGATTCATTGTGGATTTGTTCAATGGGTCCAGAACTAATTTGGGGAGCCGGCTGGGAGTCAAGGCCCCTGCTGCCTGGTGGTGTTGATCAGTAAAGATAAGTTTTGAGCTTCTTTGAGTGGATCCATTATGCTGTGTGACTTGTTTGCAGAGTTGTTTGACAGTTTTCAAGGCTTCGTTTTCTGTGAAGCTGTGCTGATTTTCTGGAGTTTTTTTCTGATGAGGTGGCATATTGTCACCTACTCCCTTCACCTCTTATGAGGGGCCCAGGTTCTGTTCTGGTCCAAAGTAGGCCAAACACAACTTTCTGTGACTGATGTGACCTTTTAGTAAGAAGCACTCTCAGGAAGATTGCTTCAGGGAGCCACCGGGATTCCTCCAGAAATTGTCATTCCATTACATTCATTGCAAGGTTTTTCTTCATTATCAGCACACTGTGCTCTCTATAAACAAATAAAATGCAACTCTAACAATGAGACTGGTTTTTAATTTCGTTTGGCTAATCTGATTTCCTGGGTAGCTGCATTTAATGCTCTTTCATATATCTCATAATCCATGATGTTCATTGTGGATTTATACCACGATGAACAATGATGCAAAGACCAAATGAGGTAGATTTCCAGAGGTTCTGTTTAGTTATTAATGCTTTTTCTGTGGAAAGCCCCTTCGACTCCCTTCGGCATATAAGGTCTTCGCAGTAGACGATTTTAGGCAGGACTGGTCGAGGTGGCGTTATCTGTACTGTACTTCTGACTCCCGGTTCAGCTGTTGCTTCAAGTTCTGGCTCAGCACAAGTTTTATTGGGGGAGGGTTCTCCTTCTGGCCCCATGGTGGCCAGCCCAGCCTTGGTTTCAGGTGCTGCTTGCTAGGTGTCTGAACCCGGTGCATTTTCCGCAACTCCCCTACTTTCGGCAAATCAGGCCAATGAGGTACCTTGCTGGTTCACTCTACTCTTCCATGCTTCGCATCTTGAGTTTCTGACGCGGGTGTAGTCATTTGGGCACAGGGGTTTTGAAGATCGAACAGGGTCCTGACTGCGCAATATCTTGTTAATGTCCAAGGTGATCAGCGGTCTTGTGTCGCCTTGGGTCGGCGGTTGCAGCCAGTTGTCTCGTCTTCGTTATGAGTTGTGTGGTGCAGCTGCCTCCTGGGTAAGTTCCTCTTGTTTTCGCTTTGGGTAGTTAGCTCCAGGGAGCCAACGGGGCATCCCCACAGAAAACCAGCACTGAATGTAATGAAACAGCTTTTACTGGGTAGAGCCCCAGAGGCTCCCTGGCACCGGAGGCTTTGTTCAGTGTCAGCTTGCAATATTTCTATCTGGAGGGTTCTGTTTTGAAGCGCCTACCTTTCTGGGTGCTCATCCCTGGTTGATGGCAGACATGAATACTTTCATACATGTGAGTTCATAGGTCATTACTCCCTTCGCCTCTCTGAGGGGACCATGTTCTTGCTAGTAGTCCCCGGTAGGCATAACATTTCCATATGACTGAAGCCCAGTACTAATATTAGCTAATATCAGTACAATAGCTCCAGGAAGCCTCTGGGACTCCACCCAGAAAATGGCGTTTCTTTACATTCAACGCTGATTTTTTTTCAAGTTTGGGTTATCAGTGCTTCTTTTACACACCAGATTCTTATCCTAATGTTTTATAGCCTTCATATATCCAAAGGCCTGGTAGCATTATAAGTGTCTCTCTGGTACCAGGGAAAAATGCACTGCGAAGCTACTGAACCCACGTAGAGAATGATGTTTTATGTTAAACACTTGATTATTAGCTTGATTAATATTATTAATTAAATTATTTTGTTATTTTATACACAGAAGTTGAAGGTGGACGCATCATTCCTCCTATTAAAGATGTGTGTGCATCATTCCAGTATGCTATAACCAAGCATCTGGTCAGACAGACTCAAAAAGCTATGGTGTACATTGATGTTCGAAACCTACTTCCTGAGGCAAACAAAATTCTGGTATGGTATTACAGATATCATGAGTGAGGATATACTAATGCATAACTGATTTAAAAAAATTTATATTATCATTCTTGCTGGAATGTTTGTATAATAACCTAAATGTAGTTACAGGATGAAAGCTATGCTCGTGGCATCCCGTCTTACTGGTACTCTGTTATATGACACATTGAAACTACTAACGGTTTTGGCAGCCATCACCTTCTCGAGGAACTTAATTTGTTCCACCCTTTTTGCAAAAGTGAATTTTCTAATGTTTTTTCTGGGGGGAGCCCCTTATTGCTCTCTGAAGCTTCTACACTGATGCAGTGCCATACTACTAGATACCTTCTGTTGCAGAGTTGTTATTGACCTAATGTCAGGGTGACAGGGAGACTGCTGACATGGATGAAAATTTTTCCAGCATGTTCCAGTTTCCAGAACAGCCTAGTGTGGAATTATCAAAAACCTTTCTTAGGTCCAGATAGACACAGTCAACCCAGCCACCTTTTCTGTATTATCTCTGAGGCTCTATCATAAAACTTAAGTACTGTAGATTTGTTACACAGGATCTTCCTATTTTAAAACCATACTGTTTGTTCGTTATTCTGTCAATACTCTCTAGATGCTCAACCCATTTGGCTTTAACTATTGTTTCTAGTGTTTTGACTACCATGCTTGTTAATATTACAGGTCTATAATTTAAAGGTTCCTCTCGACTACCATTTTTATAGATTGGTGCTATTTTGCCTTTTTTCCATAATCTGCCAAGATTCCCCTGCACAAGGAAGTCTGGAGTATTAATTGGAGTGAAATGCTCAGCTCGGTTGCACATTCTCGCAGCACCCAAGGTGAAAAACTATAAGGTTCAACCACCTTATTTCTTCCTAGCCCCTTGAGTCATTTTTTTCACTTTGTCTTGAGATACCTATATGTATTCTATGGCATGCTCTGGAATTGCTATTGGGTCTGGCTCTCGGAAATCCTCATTTTGTACAAACACACTTTAGAACTGTTCATTTAGCATTTCACATTTCTTTTTCATTCTCAGTTGTCCTGTTCCCCGTTTGCAATCACAATACATACTATTGAATAATATTACTGCAAAAAACTAAGAACAAATCAATTAGAAACATTGAAATAATTAGGTAATAATATCTTTGTGGCAACTCCCACCTGTCAGCTCTGGTGACGTTGATCGGCTCTGACAACCGCTCTGTCAACGCCCACATTTTGCCAGACTTCCTCTGCCTATTGCACCCAAAATATGTCTCCTACGATTATTTTTTTTATTTTTCCCGTGCTCAGGGAACACAAATTAACATTTTTAGAAGATAAAATAATTTTTTAGAATGTTTTTTTCTTACGCACAGGGGTGCAAATCTCCTCTGGACCCCTTAGCAGCTTAAGGGTTAAGGCAGCGCGGCACCGTGGTTAAACAGTATACGGTTCTATCAAAATCTAATAGATTTCACAAGCATTTACATAATATACTTGCCTAAATATTTAAGTAATAGTGAATTAAGCTAATCTAAACTAATTGAGTAAAATGTATTTTATAGCATTTTGTCATTAATTGATGCTTTGTTAATTAAGTTTATATGTTAAAATTTAAAAATAAAATAGAATCCATTTAATTTAAAGTTTAATTTAAACATAAATCAACAAATCTCACTATTGTATAAAGCTGAATTACTTCATAATTCAGTAATTATACTGAATTATTGGTTATTGGTTATTCTGTGCCTTTTCATCTTAGGTTGTGTCAGGTGGCGTTGCCTGCAATCAGTACATACGTAATGCATTGCAAAAATTATGTGAAGTAACTGGATACCAGCTTCTCTGTCCTCCACCAAAACTGTGCACTGATAATGGAATAATGATTGCATGGAATGGCATGGAGCGGTGGAAAACCAAAACTGGTATTCTCTATAATAAAGAAGACATTGAAGGAGTTCAATTTCAATCAAGGTAGGAGGTTGATACTTGATTGCATCTTTCTTTTTCTTTCCTTTTTTCCTTTTTTTATATACCTTGTAGGCAGGTTTATTCCATGTTATATAATATTAGATCAATTAACAAGAAACTTTAACAACTTGGTGCAGAAATACCAGAACTAAATGCTCAAGTCCAATCACTATTCAATCATAGGGCTTTGTGAAACTAGGATGGCAGACATTGAACATTTATACACTCTTACTTCCTTCACAATATATTATAATAACTGCAGTAGCCAAGAGAATGTAGTCTGCATCTATACAAAGGATTACAGTGGAACCTCGAATGACGAATTTAATCCGTTCCGGTGCCATGATCGTCATGTGAAACAGACGTCATACAAAACGAATGTCCCCATTGACAATAATGGAAATCAAATTAATCCGTTCCACCACCGAAAAACATCAATATGATATTCGATGTTTTAAATAATGGAGCAGCCTACCTTACATACACTGAACAAACCCTTATGACATTTTTCTTTCTTCAAATTTGTTCAATATTTTTTTCATTTGTCATATAGCAAAAGGTTCGTTTGGTGTTCGGCAGGTAGGCTGCTTCATATTTTGTAAATAAAAAAAGTGAAAGTAAGAAAAAAATATAAAAAATTGAAAAACAGAATAAATGTCAAAAAGGTTCGTTTGGTGGTCGGCAGATAGGCTGCTCCATGTTTCTTAAACAAAAAAAACGGTTGAAACAATTTGAAAAACAGACAAATGCCATAAAAGTTCGTTCAGTGTTTGTCAGGTAGGTTGCTCTATTATAGCAATCTTTCTTTGTTTCAAATGTGTTCCATTTGTTTTATATTTTTCCTTGACGTCTCAATAATGGGGCACCACATGCCGCCCCCTCACAGCTCAGTTCAGAGGCTGAGCATCAAAAAACAAAACCGCCAACTGGAGGGAGGGAGGGAGGGTGGGTGCCAGGGAGCCTCCGGGCCTCACCCATAAAGTAGTGTTTCATTATATTCAATGCTGGTTTTCTGTGGAGAGCCTTTCGGGTCCCTGGAGCTACACAACCACAGATAAGTAAAAAGAAGGGCTTACCTGGAAGGCGGCCGCACCGCAAGGATCAACTCTAGGATGAGACAACTGGCTGCAACCTACAACCCAAAGCCATACACGAATGACTGGGACCAGGAACATTTACCAAATAACAGGCGGCTAGGACTCTGTTCAACCTCCAAAACCTCTGTGCCCAAATGTCAGCCCAGCACAAGTTGCCAGACAAGACAGACAAAGCAGCATACTTACAAACGTCATGGGCATGAGGATAGACTGCAGGCTGGCAAGACTTAACCATTGTGGTGCTCAATACATACATAGACGATGGGAGTAACTGTCATGGAATGGTGCACATCATACATAAGCAATTGAGGGTCCCCGCACACAAAAATGCACCTCTTTCTATGTTCACCAGAGGATATTGCTTCCCATCATGTGTTTTAAAAATGGTTGTCCTGGTTGTGATAACATACCTTTATCAGTTATTACAGCTAATATTGACAGACTCGACTATATACTGTACTACCATTTCTGTGCAGTATTTCAAAGTCACAAGACAATTTCCTTGACACAAGAGTGCATAAATCAAATTAATGTAATGAAATGTCTTCTTCTAGTTAGGCACTCAGTAAGTTCACATGCTATAGCACTGGGGCTGCCAAGCCTTAGGAAATCACACCAATCTTCTGAGATCCACTCGAGCCTGACGTGAGCCAGGACCCGAATCTGTCTCTCTCATGAGGCGAGGGGAGTGTGGGAATCAGGGTTCAATTCAAAACTAACAAAACACCCACCAGAGAGTAAAAATGCATAAAAAAAAAGCAGCTACCTCAAGGAAACTAATAACCTTGTGGAAAACAAAGCAAACCATCATTACTTCAGGGTAAATACCCCAGTCATGATGCACCCAACCATCACCAGATGGCAACCCAGATCATCCAGGGTGCCCACCATCCAACTACATCATTCACGAGCTGCCTTAGTAATTTACAGTAAAAAGTATTACCTGGAGAGAGCGAGAGATCTTGTATGTCAGGCTACAGCAAAAACTGCTGACCAATAGAGCTGCTGAATGACTCAACATTAAATCAAGTAAATTTTTGCTCAGTGTATATGATAAAGAGGCAAAATGTGGTTATTAAGGTAGATTATATAATTCCTTTTGATAAAAATTCATTAATTTCAACATTGATTTTATATTTTCAGGTGCCAAATAGGAGAAGATTTAACAGATGATGTTCGAAATCTAGGAATTCCTGCACAAAAGTGGGTTAAATTTTAACATAAATAAAATATTATACATTGTATGATACTCTAAATTAAAGTTTCGAAGTTATTGATGAAATGTTTCAACTTTGTAAGTTAATAAGTTTCTTTTCTTGTACAGAAAGATGTGAAATAAATAATGAATGACATGGTACATGAGAGAATCATGTTTTCATTTATCATGTAGGATAATATTTGTCATCATTATTATTTTTACCCCATTTTTTTTTTAATGGGGTGAGGATGCAACTGACCAGAGGAAAAATAAAAATGCAATGTGGGAAATTAAGCTTAAAGATACTAAAGGCCAGTATTGAAAATAATGGAACACCTCTTTCCAGTTGGGCCTTGGTGACTCCCTGAAGCTAGCTAACTCGCTAAGGTAGCTCCCCACTACTGAGTCACATCAGCCTTAGAACTCCTGTATGGCTTACCAGGAACCAAAGCAAACACCTGGCCCCCTTCTCAGAAGCGCAATGAACAGTGGGATTGTTTCAATCACCCTTACCAAGAAAACATTCAGAAAGTAAACGAAGCAATACAGACAACTGCAAGATTCACAGAAGAAAAAAAAAAAAAAGAGCTGAAACAGCCAAATGACTCTGCAGACAATTCACTCAAATGTTAGGTTGAACTCTTCTAGTTACAGTTGGTAACACCACCAGGAGCTCTCATATTACACATCATAATAACCTCAGTCCATAGTTGAAAGATAGCAGTCTTATGCACCTGGAAGGGTGAAAGGGAAAAAGGAGCAACAGACCATACCAGAAAAAGGTATTTAATTACATTAAATGCTGGTTTCCTGGAGGAGCTGAATGGTGACTCTCTGAAGCTAGCTAATAACAGAGTAGAAGGAAAACATGGGACTTACCTGGGAGGAGAAGAGTGAAAATGACACTCACAAATATGAAATGCTAGGACAGGAAACCTAACCCAGGGCAACCCAGGCCTAACATGGTCCAGGGACATTGACTAGGTAATGAGCTGACAGGACTCTGTTGCACCGCTAAAACCCCCAACCCTAGGTATCAGTCCATGACATGTTAGAAAAAATGGTGGACAAAGCTGCAAACTTTTGAACATCATGTGCCCAAGAGTAGACTGCATGCTGACTAGGCTTTATGACACTGCACAACTAGGAATAAACAAGTCTTGGAACAGGGAACCAAGGAAACTAGATCAACAAACACATAGATCAGTGGAAAAAGTTGAACCAGCATAGTACGTCACCATGCTGATCCACACATAGAGGCAGAGCTGTGGAAAAATATACAGGCAGGCAGAAGAAACAGAAATTAAAGGTGAGCTGGCCATCAAGGAGATAGAAGGATCAACTTGCCTGAGTCTCAAACTGTCTCAAACCTGGACAATACCTGGAGCAACAGCAGAACCTGGAAGAAGAGATAGAGGAACCCCCACCACTGTCAGTCCAGCTAGAAGGCACACACCATGAGAGCCTCATGATCGGAGAGCAGAGTCACATAAATGGGAAGCAGCTGGTTCACCACCAACACAGAAGTCCACCTTGGGACAACAGAACATCTTGTTAGAGCCAGTGGAAGGACATCTCATCAACAGTCCATTCTGTGAAAATAGGACAGAAGCAAGATGGAACATTAATGAGAATGTTAGGCAAAACCTCACATGTGAGCCTGTTATGACCCCCACATTCATCAAGTATGTCTGGTATATGATGTGATCATACCTTAGTATAAATAGGGCAGGGTAGCCATGCCTAATGTGTATTAAATATATGATTATATGTATATTTTCTTAAATTCTATGCATCACTGTATATAACCTTTTCTGTGGGGAGCCCCTAAGGCTCCCTGGAGCTTATAGGGATAATGTATGTTATATTAGACTGAGACATTAGCTATGGCGTTCAGACCTACCAGGGACCATGAGCCAGAACCTGGTCCCTTCAGAGAGGTTTCAGGGAGCAATGGCCCTGGAAAACCCCCCTGTGGTTGGGAGTTTTCCTTATCTACCAGCGACCGGGGTTAGGCACTGAGAAAGGTAGGCATAACAAAACAAACTCCACATGGTAAGAAACTAACAAGAAAACTGAACAGAGGTAGAACTCCAACAATCCCAGGGAAACAAGCAAACGTAACACACTACTGCCGCGCCGCTCGTCTGCGCAGCTCTTCCCTCCCTGAGAGGGGGGTGGCTCCCCTGACCTCACCACGCTGGCTGCATAGCACTACCAGTTCGTAAGCAAATGTCAACCGGGACATTAGGTTGACAGAGCCAGCTTCAGGGACCCGGACCCAATATTCAGCCCCCTCCAGAAAAGACACATCCATTCACTGCATCATCCACATAAAACAGCGTCATGTTGAGTGAGCACCATCATACTAGCCACACATCCACAGTACATAAGTAGTTATTAAAAGTAGGCACCAAGCTGGGAAAGCTATATAGCACCATCAAATGTGTGGGATATTCATAGGGCGCTAAATATCACTAAGGATGCCAATACAAGAACAAAAGTGTATAAGACGAACAATCTCAAGGATTCACCAAGAATTCTATATAGGGACAAGTGTCCGCGAGGGATGGTCGGAAAGCAAGATACATACACTTCCTGGAAGTCCAGACATTCAACAAGGATATGCACGACCCTAAGAGGGACAATGCAGTTTGGACAATAAGGAGCAGGGCAACACTCCATTAAGTGCCTGTGAGTTAAAAGGGTGTGGCCAATACGTAACCTCGCCACAGCCATTTCCCACCACCGATTATGGTGGTAGGAGAAAGACCATGGGGACACACTACTCTTAAGAGCACGCAGTTTATTACCAGTAAGAGAAGACCAATGACCCTGCCAACGGACATGGATTGAGGAATGAATAACTGGGTAGAAGTCAGAATAAGGAACACCTTTATGGAAGATGGGACAAGTGCGGAAATCCTCCTTAGTGGCAGTATCTGCACGCTCATTTAAGGACACGTCAATATGGCTGGGAACCCAGCAAAACTCCACTGTCTTAAATCTGCTGAAGATCAGATATGGCCAATGTTAAATTTCAACTACTACAGGATGGACTAGATTAAAAGACTCCAGAGCCATGAGGACATTGCAAGAGTCAACTACAACCACAACAAAGGAGCAGCGAGAAAGCAGTTGATGAAGAGATACAAAATAACATAAAGTTCTGCCGTGAAGATGCTAGTCTCTGGAGGCAGGCTACACATATAGGTGTGGTCAGGAAAAACAACAGAGTACCCAACACCGTCGCCAGACTTAGCCCATCGGTGAAGACAGAAATGGAAATGGAGTGTGAAGAAAAGTGTTCAAGGAAAAGGCATTTCAGGACTGTAGAAGGGTGGAAAACCTGTAGTCACATGAGTTAAGATTTTACAAAACTTCCACGGGGTCATAGATGGAACGACACGAGAAATATTGGTAACACAAACTGAAAGAGAATCTTGTAGGCAAGACAACCGTACGGAAAGAGGTAGGTGGTGAATGGAATAGGACCCACAGAGGGGTAAAAGTCAAAGCACAACATAAGCGAGAGGGAGGGGTGTTGTAAGGACCACGAAAGGTATCGAAGACAGTAGTGATCACTGCGATCCTGTAGATAGGATGCCAGTTTCAACATACAGGCTTAGGGTAGGAGTCAAACAAAAGACACCAGAGCTGAGGTGTAACCCAACATGATGCAGAGCATCTAGACGGCAATGAGTAGAAGAAACATGCCGAGTAACCAGGGCAACCATAATTGAATTTAGTCAGTACGAGAGAGGAATGGAAAAAGAGGAGCGTGCACCTATCTGCTCCCCAAAAAGTATGGGACAAGATTTTAAGCAAGTTCGAATCTTAGAGCATTCAACTCGAAGGTAAGAGAAATGAGGTGACCAAGACAAACGAGTGTCAAAGATTAACCCCAAAAGCTTAACAGAATCTTTGTACAAAATGGGATTACAGGGGGCAAAGAAAGACCTGCTTCCGAGTAAAAGTGATAGCACAAGTTTTAGTTGTAGAGAACTTGAAGCCATGATTGGTGACCCAAGACTACTGGCATCAATCGTAAGTTGAAGCCATCATTGAAGGAAAGGAGAGTCATCACCTCAACAGCAAAGGGTAAGATTGTCAACATAGAGTGCTGAGAAGATGCCAGAGGGAAGGGAGGAAAGAAAACTATTGAGGGGCAACCATGAAAAGAGTAGTGCTCAGAACACTATTTTTGAGGTTACCTTGAGGTGTTTTCAGGGCTTAGCATCCCCGCGGCCCAGTTGTCGACCAAGCCTCCTGGTTGCTGGTCTGGTCGACCAGGCCTCCTGGTTGCTGGACTGGTCAATCAGGCTGTTGGGTGCGGCTGCTCGCAGCCTGATGTATGAGTCACAGCCTGGTTGATCAGGTATCCTTTGGAGATTCTTGTCAAGTTCTCTCTTAAGGAGATGGCATATGAAATGAAGTAGCAAATACAAACAGGCAGCAGTGTCTGACTGAACATGACACATGCCTTTGTATTACATTTTCTTTCCTTAATCTGTATATTCACCTAGTACTTTTAATAACATCTCAGATTTTCCATTTCCACAACTCCAACTTTTTTGAGTTGCCATTCTTGTATCACGCCAGCATCTCACATCTATAAGTGTGGTTATCTTGAGATGATTTTGGGGCTTAGCGTCCCCACGGCCCAGTCCTCGACCAGGCCTCCTTTTTGTTATACACTCCCCAGGAAGCAGGCCGTAGCAGCTGTCTAACTCCCAGGTACCTATTTACTGCTAGGTAACAGGGGCATCAGGGTGAAAGAAACATTTTGCCCATTTCTCTCTGCCTCCACTGGGGATCAAACCCAGAACCTCAGCACTACAAATCTGAAGCACTGTCCACTCAGCTGTCAGGCGCCGAGGTGTGGGTTAGAACTACCACTGCAGGCATCCCTCTAGTCACATCTCTTACTATTTGATTCTTCCTAACAAAGAGTTTTATTGAGCCAGACACTTTTCTTCCCAAACGTACTCTACTTTCAACCTCTTTTTGTCAGTTATGGAGTCAAGTATTTAAATTTTATTCTCTCTCTCTCTGCCACAGCTACTATAATTTTGTCCATATTAACTTTAGGTGTTAACTAAAAGTAAATGTAAGCAAAATTGATTTAGAAGGAACACATTTGCATATGAAATGCACTACTGCTTGCTCTGTATCATATGCATGACAATGAAATAATACAAATTATCATTCTTTGAGTAAGACATTGTAGAAAGAATTGTACATTATACAATGACTTATTTTAAAACCAGGGATCCTGTAGCACAATAGTCTATGTTCTAGGTTCACAATTGATCCAGGGTTCAATTTTGAGTGGGACAAAGAAGGTTGGACATATTTCCTTTCACCTGATGGGCTGTTCACCTAGCTGTAAATAGATACCCAGGAGTTAGGCAACTGTAGTGGGTTGCATCCTGGGGAACTTAATCAGTAATTGGACGAGGGGGGTCTGGATAAACCTAACAGATTTCCTATCCCTGGCTGCATAAGAAACGATTAGATGAACCAAGTAAAAAGCAGTGTTTCCATTGTTACCAATAATACAAACCTGATGGGCTGGTATTCAAATTGCTAAAATAATTTGTATGTTGAGTTTAATAAGTGCTCATATCTTTGAAAAGAAATAAAGTTAACGAAAGAAAGTGTATATATAGCTAGGAGCAAACACTTTTTGTCTGAAGATAATAAAGAAGGTTAGTTATGGAGAAATAGATTGGCCTCTTATAAAGTGGATTAGAGGCCAGCACAAGCATCAAGTTATCTCTGAGGACCATTCATCAAGTATAAGGATGTGGAAACTCGATGAAAACTCCCAGGCACCTGCAACACTGGAGAGTTACCTACACCTAAAGATTTATATGACACAGCTTAAACACTTGAAGACTCTACTTCAGGAATTGGTAATATCTATTAATTGGTTTCATCTATTAATAGGCTATCCATCCATTAATAGGCTATCCATCCATAATAGGCTACCAGGCCCCCTGAGACTTAATTAAGCAGACATTTTAGTGAATGGGGCCCAGAATGTGGAATGACCTTCCCAACCATGTTAAAGACTGTACCTCTCTCAACCAGTTTAAGATAAAAACAAAGCTATACCTAATAAATTCCCTGTAACCTACCTTACCCTTCTATTGTCAACCAATGTCTGTTTTTTTTTAAAGAGCGCTGTTTGTCAACATAATTGTATTTGTGCTGCTTTTTCAGCTATGTTTTCATTTCTTGTTTTCATTCTACTCATTATGCTCAATTAGTATTAAGCTTGTCATTTAAGTTTATCATGCCCGAAACGCTTTGCGTAATAGTGGCTTTAGGCATTGTATGTACTAGCTCTACCTATAAGTCAACCAATCTTTGTAAAAATTTATTGTATGTATGTACCTTACCTAAATAAACATTTTATTTTATTTTTATTTTATTTTATTTTCATTATAGCACTATGTTTCTGATTAATATTTCTTGTTTTTTAACACAATCACTTTAAAAAAGATTAATTTATTAATTCATAGAGATTTATTGTTTCATCTGCACTAATACTGTATTCCTATATTCTTGACAATCATTATTCTGTGGTAAGTATCCCAAGAATCACTGTAGTTTATCACAGAAGATATAAAAATATCACCAAAGGGTCTCTGAAAGAGTGTTTGATGTTCATACAGATGAGATTATAGTGAAGTTCGTACATCAAAGCTGATTATATACAGCACTATACTGTATTGTGAAGAATATACATATTTTAAATTAATACTGCTATACTGTGTAATCCATTGACCAGACCACATACTAGAAGGTGAAGGGACGATGACGTTTCGGTCCGTCCTGGACCACAATCGACTTGAGAATGGTCCTGGACGGACAGAAACGTCGTCGTCCCTTCAGCTTCTAGTGTGT